TTTCAATTTCGTGAAAGAGTTTGAGGAGTATAGGGACTACATCTCCTATAAATTTCTTGTAGAATTCAGCTGTGAATCCTTCTGGACCTGGACCTTTCTTTGTCGGTAGGTTTTTAATTACATCTTGTGTTTCGTTCACTGTTATTGGGCTAAGTGAGAGTGGTTGTATCTTTTATATTCAGTTGTGGTAATTTGTACCTTTCTAGGAATCTGTCCAGTTCTTCTGTGTCTTCTATGCTGTGAGAGTAATGATTCTCAAAGTAGCTATTGATAATGTTCTCAATTTCAACCGGGTCTGGTAATTACACACTTTTCATTCCTTATTCCTTCTATTTGAATTTTTTCTTTCCTCTTTTTGATCAGGTTAACTAGGGGGTATTAAATAAAATCTTTTTGTTTTTATCTGATCCTTCAAAGAACCAGCTTTTTGTTTCATTAATTCTTTGAACTGTTTTCTTCATTTCAATTTAATTAATTTCTGCTCTACTCTTTATGATTTCTTTCTGTCTTTGGGATATGAGTTTGGTTTGCACTTCCTTTTCTAGTTGTTGAAGGTGCAGCATTAGGGTGTTTATTTGTTCCTGTTCTGTTTTCCTAATGTGTGAGTTCACAGCTACGAATTTCCCTCTCAGAACTGCTTTCATTGTATCCCATAAATTCCAATAAGTTGTGCTTGAATTTTCATTGAATTGTAGATATTGTTGAATTTCTTGTTTAATTTCATCTGTGACCAATTGGTGGCTGAGTACAGTGTCACTTAATTTCCATGTAGTTAGGGGTTTTTTCTCGTTTCTTTTGTCATTTATTTCCAGTTTCATTGCACTGTGGTCATATAATATGCATGGGATAATTTCTGTTTTCTTACATATACTTAAGCATGACCTATGGACCAGTATGTAGTCTATTTTAGAAAATGACCCATGTGAAGCTAAGAAAAACGTGTATTCAGCTGTGTTTGGGTGGAACACTCTGTATATGTCCACCAAGTCCATTTGTTTCAAGCTCTGGTTCATTTGTGCTTCTTATTTGCTAATTGTTTGTCTGGTTTATCTATTTTTTTGGGATAAGGGGGTGTTAAGATCTCCTGTTAAGATTGTGGTATTGGATATTAGATTTTTAATGTCCATGAAGATTTGCTTTATATAGTAGGGTGCTTCCGTGTTTGGTGCATACATATTTATGATTGTTACCTCTTCCTCTTGAATTTTTCCCCTAACCAGTATATAGTGGCCTTTTTTATTTTGTTTGATCTTTCTTAGTTTGAAGTTGTGACTGTCTGAAAATAGGATTGCTACACTTGCTTTTCTCTGAGGTGCTGGGGCATGTAGTATTGTGTTCCATCCTTTGACTTTCAGCCTATGAATGTCTTTATGAGTTAAATGTGTTTCTTGTATACAGCATATTGTTGGATTTTGTTTCCTAATCCACTGTGCCAGTCTATTTCTCTTAATTGGGAAATTGAGTCCATTTACATTGATGGTTAGAATTGAGATGTGTTGACTTACGATAGACATGATATTTACCTGTTATTGTTTACTCCTTTTTCTCCTGGGTTTTATTGCTTGCCCTAGTTATTTGATTGCTTCTGATCTCATTTTGGAGTTCTGATCATTTTCTTCCCTCTCTAGAACATCTTTCAGTAACCTGTGTAGTATTGGCTTTGTCATCATGAAATTCTTTAGCTTTTCTTTGTCATGAAAGTGTTTCACTTCTCTATCAAACTTGAAAGAGAGTTTTTTTCAGGTTATAGTAGTCTGGACTGGAATTTGTTTTCATAGAGGTGTTGAAGTACTCTGTTCCATGCTCTTCTTGTCCTCATGGTTGGTGAAGAGAAGTCGGCCATAATTGTGATGGGTTTTCCTTTGAATGTGATCTGCTTCTTTTCTCTAGTGACTTTCACTATATTATTCTTGTGCTGAATCTGGGGTCTTGATGATTATATGTCTCAGTGTGTTTTTAATTGGGTTGACATTACTTGGCGTTCTGTATGCTTCAGTTACCTAAATGGTAGAGTGTTTCCTCTTGTTTCGGATGTTTTCTGTTATTACTCCTGCCATATTTTTTAATGCCATTTGTGTTGACTCCTTCTTTCTCATTGAAGCCTATTATTTTCACATTGTTCATCTTTGCTTCATCTTGCAGGTGATGGATTATTTTTTCCTGCATCCTAGTTGTTCTTACAGATCCTTGTTCTTACCTTTTCACTAGCTGCACCAGCATCTTCAAGATCTGAAACTCTGTCTTCACTTTCACTTAAGCGGTTTTATAAGCTTGTCATTGAGATTTTAAATTCCTCTATATTTCTTTGACTCTGCTTCATGTGATACATTTCTTTCCTGTATTACTCATTCAAGGAATCTGTCATTTGTCTAATCTCCTCTGTTTTTTATCAATGTCTTCTTTAGGAGTGGTTATAAATTCTTTACTGCAGTGTTTTTTTCAGATTGGGTTTTCTCTCTATGTTTCTGTATTTGCTTCTTTACTTCAGATGCTACGAGTTCTGAGAAATCTTTTTTTTTTATTTCAGAAAAGAATTCTTCCCTGAGTTCCTTTTTAACTTTCTGCTGTTGCTTATTTACTATCTACTCTATTAATTCATATATTTGAGCTGAGCTAGTAGAAAAGAATTCCGCTCTGAGTTCCTGTATGACTTTGTGCTGTTGCCTATCTACTATCGAAGCTATTAATTCATACATTTGAGCAGAGCTAATGTCCTCTGCACTTTTTCTGGGTTGGCATTGGGTTTCCTCCATATGTTTCTGCATTTGATTCTTTACTGTAGATGTTATTAATTCAGGGATTTCTTTTTTCATTTCCAATCTGAGTTCCCCTATACCTTTCTGCAGCTTTTTTTTTTTAATTTCAGAAGCTGTTGATTCATTGCTTTTAGCTGTGTGATTCCCAATTTGTTCTTTTTTAGTGTCCTCTGCACTTGTTATGGGTGGGCTTGGGTTCTGAGGTTGCATTTTGCTCCTTCTCATTCTCATTTTGTGTAGCACTGTCTTCTGACCTTATTGTTATTTTTTTTTTTTTCAGAACCAGGAACTGAACTCAGGCCCTTGCGCTTGCCAGTGAAGCGCTTATTCCACTGAGTCATCTCCCCAGCCCTTAAAAAACCTTTTCTTTTTCTTTTTTCTTTTGTGGAACTTTATATTGAACTCAGACCCTTGTGCTTGCCATGAAGCACTTCCTCTACTGAGCCATTTCCTCAGGCCCCTGTCTTCTGATCTTTGTGTAGATCTTTGTTTCAGTTATAACCTTAGCACCTACTGAAGTTCAGGTGCAGATCTACAAAGTTTGGATTTATCTAGCTGTGCCTGACTTGGTTCTGGCTGCTGTGCTCAGCTCCTTCCTGCTGCTGCCATTGGGCATGAAGCTGTTGTGCTCCTCTGGCAAGATATCTGCTCCTGGACTAGGTGGTTGGTTCTGTCCCCTACACTGTCTGCAGTGATAGCAGCTGCACTGTTTCACCCCAGGCCTCTATGCCAGGCCTGAGCTAAATCTGGAGGGGACAAAGTGGAGTAGGGGGGAGAACCATCTCTTCCACACACTCACTGGGCTTAGACTATGACTGGATCTAGTGGTTCCTGGAACACGACAGATATTCCTGCTCTGTGGGCTGGGTTTGGGGGGTACCACAGAGTGATGAGGGGCGTCCCAAGAGGGTGAAAGAGGGTGTCACCCATGCTATGTCTGGGCTGGGACCAGTAGGTCATGGTGGCACAGGGTAGCCGGAAGCTCTCCCACACACTCACCAGTCTTGGGCTAGGACTGTGTCTGGGGGTTCCCGGAACATGGTAGAAATTCCTACTGGGCAGGTGGGATGGGGAGGTGCTGTGGAATGGCGGGAGCACATCCCAAGCGGGTGGAAGAAGGTCTCACCCACGTTGCACCTGGGCTGGGACCAGTAGGTCCTGTCATCACATGGTAGCCGGAAGCTCTCCCGGTCCTTATTTCTTAATTTGGGCTTGCAATTAAAGTTAGTTTGATGTTGAAAATGTCCTCCATAAATTAAAAATAATAATTAGAGACATGAATTGCATAAATACACCCACTCAACAAATATAACTAAGTGTTCTCAACTCACTGGCACTCTTTTGTCTGAGAATACAGTAGAGTAACAGTGCAGAACTAAGCCCTAAACCAATGGAATCCAATGTCTTATTAGGAAAATATCAGTTAAAGTTTGCTGGTTTAGAACAATTGCTTTAAGTCGAACTTTAAAAATATCTAGTCTATATCTATAATAAAATTCATCATACCAAAATGTACATTCTTGACATATTTTTCTCCTCACATGGAATAAATATACCTTCCTTGAGTAAAGTGAATGTATTGTCAAGCATGTGATTAAGTATAACAACATGCTTGGTTCTGGGCAGGTGTTAAGTGATTGTGTCAAGTAGCAGGGTTTATTCCCTATATTTCACTGTTTCTGTGTTTTTGTGATGATGTCCCACTCTTCCCTAAGAACAGCAGACAAGTTCTCATAGTTTACATCATAGTGCAAGGTGATCAGAGGATTCCAAAGGGGATGCAAAGAGGAAGCAGCACTAAATGAGAAATGTGAACTTGGTGGGATGGAGGATGAGGCTGGAAAGAGACTACCAAGGAAAATAATCCAAAAAAGTTAGAGGACAGAAAAACAGCAAATGAACAAGGCCTTGGAGCTGATCCCCAGGGCTGGCAAAAATGTTCCTAGTGATAAAGGGACTTTGCAATAGTGCATAACACTCGTTCCACAGCAGGCAGACTAGTGGCTTCTGCAGAATGGAAGTTGGTGTCAGACAGAAGCCACAAGCTGGAGGGGAGTGTCGGGAGCAGAGAGGAAATGAACTACTGAGTGGGAGTCTCGGGGACGTGAGAAGCAGCAGACATTGTTTATCTTAGACAGAAGACATTTGTCTGTTGGTTGGAGAAGGAAGTCCAAAGAGTAGTATATGGGGGCAGGTTTGTTTAGAACAGAAATAAAAGATCAGCTTTTCTGAGAGAAAGAAATAATGTCTGCAAGTGCCCTGCTGTGTCTGCTTCTTCCACTGCAAGCTGCTCTCAGCCTAGGCAGCGACAGTCAAGTCGGTAAGAACTCTGGTACCTGTTTGGTGGTCAGCAAGGGTGTGTGTGTGTGTGTGTGTAGTTTCCTCCATGTACACCTGGGGCAGAGTACTAGCTGAGTCTTCCTGCATACTCTGTGTTGCAGTGTGAGTATCCCTGACTCCAGATCTCTGAGCTCTTCTGAAGGTTGTTGACAAATCAAAGGAGCCTGTGGCAGCAAAGTCCTGCTCATGACTCTGATTCTGAGTTCCCCTATTCTGACACCTTTCTTTACTTCTCTCCTTCACAATCTCTCTCTCTCTCTCTCTCTCTCTCTCTCTCTCTCTCTCTCTCTCTCTCTCTCTCTCTCTCTCTCCAAACAGAGATCAACAAGCCAGTCACTTTACAAGTTACCTGGACCGCATCCTTTTACAACCGCACCTCAGGAGAACATTGGATCTCAGGCTGGTTAGATGACTTGCAGACTCATGGGTGGAACAGCAGCTCTGGTAAAATCATTTTCTTGTATCCCTGGGCCCGAGGCAACGAGAGCAAGGAGTGGCCCACGTTGGAGAGGTCTATCAAAGTGATCATTGTTACATTTCACACGGATATATTTGTATTTCATTTTGAATGTGAGTTCAGTTCTTCTCTTCTTTTGTAAAGAGAGTGAAGGAAGGGGCTTTGGCGGGCATTTCGTGGTTTTTCCTTCCTCTAGGAATGGGCAACTCTTCTGCATCTTAACTCCTCTCTTTCTAGTTCAAAAGTATAATCATACACTCTGGGTGTATGCTCAAATTTAGATCATGATTTTTCAGAAACTTTAGACATCTGGTTTTCTTTTGAACACTTCTCTCATTGATGGGAGGATTTTACAGTCTTCCCCCACAGATAACCTTTGGCTGCTCTTTATTGACTGCCAGTTAGGTATCCTCAGTTTACCCACTGTTATTGGTTCCTAAACATGTGGTTATTTTCTGCTCTATTCAGTCTCTTTGGCATTTTCTTTCTATGCAGCTATTGTATCACTGCATCCTCTCCACCAGCTAGCTAGGGTCTCAACACTCTCACACTAAATCCCCTTCCTCCATAAGTCATATTACCTTGATCGAACAATTGGTGCCTTTCCTCATATTATTTTTTTCCTTCACCACCAATTCCTATGAATTTCTTTTTCTCTGAACCTTCAATTAAACAAAACTATGTTCTATTCATTTTACCCCCAATATTCACCCTTCTATTTTTTGTTTCCACTTATTTATTTTGTCCTCTTTCCTCTAATTATAGCCTCTATTTCTCAGATCTCCTTGAGATGCAATTTTCAAAAGGCTGCAGGCTGCATTCTGGGAATGTCGTAGAAGGTTTCTTCTGGATAACTTCTCAAGGATCTGATTTTCTGAGCTTCCAAAATGATTCATGTTCACCGTCTCCAATGGGCGGAAAAAAGGCTCAGAGTATCTGCCAACAAATCAGACAGCATCCAAGTATCAAAGGCCTGATTCATAGGCACATTTATGATGTTTGCTCACGTATCCTCTCGGGTATTCTTGATGCAGGGAAGGCTCATCTTCAGAGACAAGGTCAGTTGGATATCACTTCTCCAAATATTTTCTGTTTCAAAATCATGCCTTCTTCTGTTTGAGGATAAAGAAAAATCAAAGGAAAAACAGCATGAGCACCAGATTTCAGAAGGGGAAAAGCTATGTCTAAGGTGGCATGGAGATCTGACTCTCTAAGACTGTGTTTCAGTCATTACCTAAATATCTTTCTTTTGTAGAAAGGCCTGAATGTTGGCTGTCCACTGCCCCTAGCCCTGAGCCTGTTCTTCTGCAGCTGGTGTGCCACGTCTCTGGCTTCTACCCAAAGCCCGTGTGGGTGATGTGGATGCGGGGTGAGAAGGAGCTGCCTGAAACTCAGAGAGGGGATGAGCTGCCCAATGCTGATGACACGTGGTATCTCCGAGTGACCCTGGATGTGGCAGTGAAGGAGGCAAATGGGCTGTCTTGCCGAGTGAAGCACAGTAGTCTAGCAGGGCAGGACATCGTGCTCCACTGGGGTGAGGAAGTACTGGGGTCCAGGTGGAGTGGAAGGGGCAGTCTTCAAGCAGCGCAGGAGGACCAGTTGAAAGTATTTGCGATTGTAGAGGATCCTGAACCCCCATGAATATGTAATCTAAGGAATAGAAGAGTTAAAACTGAGGGACACAGGGGTGCAGGAAGATGTGTGTTAGGTAAAAGATCTGTCACTGGAGAGGAATGAGTGAAAAGAGGAAAGGAACATGATGAGTTTGACTCTCAGATGAACAAAAGAAGCCCAGATTAACGCTCAAACACAGTGTGGTTGGGGTAAAATGAGAGGGATTTGAAGTAACATCTTTTGTTTCCCACAGAATCCACAGAGCATCACAGTTCCCTGGGTGTGATCTTGGTGGCAGTGATGGTGCCCCTGACTGTTCTGGCAGGTCTTGTGTTTTGGTTTGGGAAGCGCTGGTGAGTCTTTTGCATCTGTCTTTTCTCTTGTTCCCTCCTCCACCATTTGTCTCCTCACCTCTTTATATCTCTTTTCTTCCCCAGTTCCCATCCCTTCACTTTTCAGGTCTCACTTCTCTTCTCTCTCTTTTCTTCCATTTTATGCAGGATGAGTTCTGAAGCTGCTCCAAATGTCTACCCTTGAAATGAAGACCAAGCTGTTCAGATCTTGGCATATGCTCAAACCTGATCATCTGTCTAAATGTAACATGATGATGACATGATCCCCACAAAACTTTTGGGGTTGTTTATGACTGCCTAATGATCAGTGTTCAATACAATCTCAAATTATTTTGCAGAATTTTCTGTTTTGAGTGGAGCTCTACAATACTAAAACTCATAATTTTGACTATGAGTGGATTAAAGCCCTGTGGTAATGGATCACTGGGAACATTCTGATGCCAGTTCAGAGAGCCTTCCCTGACCCCACAGTATCTCCTCTGTCTGAGCTCCCCAACATGTCAACCTTGCATGCCTTGCTTCCTACATTCCTTTGCAGTTTGGAAGGGCATTTTCCTTTTTTAATTTTTCAGAGCCTTAAGAGCAAAGTATATGTCTTTTGGCCATCTCTACTCATGGTAAAATGCTTTGCTTACATGTGACATGTTCTCCATTAACACCTGTGTTGAATTTATGTCAAATTTGTAGTCTTTAAATACATTCTCTCTGTTCCTAATGTCTTTGTTCATAGACAACGTTGGAACACCTGATGTTCTCCTTGTTAAAAGCCTTCTCTCTTGAGTCAAGAGATTCACACTTTCCTAATTCTGTGGTTTTAATTCTCTGACTCTCTACGAAGAAGCACACTTTTGCCTCCTACCACCCTTATTATCCAACCACAAAGAAGTGTTAGAACAGAAACTTTATTTTCTCTAAAGTGAGAGTCTGGCAGCATGCAGGCCTTTGCTGTTGAGTATGTTTCTGAGACAAGTAGAAAAATCACCACCCTGAAGCTTATCAGAAGTATGGAATCTGTGGCTTGATCCCAGATTGCTGAATAATAATTTGTGTTTTAGCAAAACCAATAGGATATTCAAGGTGCATCAAAATTTGAGAAACACCGATATATAAGTGTGTTTGTTGTACAAGTGTGTTACTGAAAAGAATGAAAAAAGAGAATAAGGTTATTGTTTCTTAGGATTGAAGTAGGGTCAGAGTGGCTGTTTATAGAGTACATTTTCATTAGTAGTGGAAGTTATATACAATATGACTGGTGCAAAAATAACTCCACTGGAATAATGAACACAGAGCTATGTTCTTGAAGGAAACACACTGTGGGGTTCTTGAACTACAGTTCAGTGTTTTTGCTCATTGATAAGTACAGAACCCCTTTTGTGTGTATATTTGTTAAAAATATCCTTATATGTTTCAAATATGATCTACAAACTGGTATAGAGTGTCAGGGTAAATTCTGAGGGGATTAGACTGACCTCATCAGATACAAAATTTATATTTCTTGTTATATAGGTCTTGCTTTATCTTGGTCTTAACCATCCAGTAGAAAAGTATAAAAATGAAGTATAAAAAGGAAAACCATATCAATATGCTGGGTCATAAAAGGCTCAAGTCAACAACTTCTGACATTGCCAGTGCTATGGAAAGCCCACTACTATTATGAACTACTGGACTATATTGGAATATTTTGCTGAACACATGCACTGACAATATTAAAATGACAATGGAATACCATTCTCTGACAAAACTAAACAAAAAGGGGGATAGAAATGATAGATATACAGCTACTTTCTCTTAATTTAATGAATAGAAAGTTTGTACTAATAGTGTTTGTGGACAGGATATCATGTCTGCAACTTGTACTATGAATAACCACTAAGAAGATAACAATATGCAATGTATTTTGAAACTGTCCTACTAATAGATTTTGAAGCTGTCTCATTGCTATTTGTTTCTCAATAAAATTATTTAAAAAAATAAAATAAAATATATTATTATATGGAGTATTTCTTTCTAGTAAAACAATGAGAGGTATTCAGCATTTTCCTTACCTGAATAGTATGATCATAAATTTCTAGATTTTCAGCTTCCTTTTAATGCTGTCTAACCTGCAATAAATTTAAAATGTGAAACAATCATGGATAAATCTTAGCCTTGATCAGATGAGTCAGGAATGCACTTGTCGTAAGGTACCTTCATTGAGATGAAGCCTGGTTCTTGTGTTTGATATCAGAGAAAGAAGCTTTTCCTTGTTCTCTGTGTCATGTATCGGGATCTACAGCATGGATGGGCTCAAGTCATTCATTCAGAACCAGAAAATCAAGCCTATGAATGAACTCAATGAGGAAGAAGGCAGAGAACAGACTCATCTAAGAATCCAGATTAAACTGTCCCTGGAGCCTGAATGGGCCAGGGGTTTCTTCTGCATGGCAGGCAATTCATTTCCTTGACCATCTCAGCCTGTGCCCAGTCTGGCCTCTTCTTTTTGGTGACTCAGCAATTCTGATTTGGCATTGGGTATTAGAGTGTCTTATGATTTTTATATTTCTCTCCTTCGTCTTTTGTTCCTGAGATTGACTATTCATTAAAATTGATTGATTTCTTTTCATTTATTTTTCTTACATGTGTCTTTGTTTTGTGAAAACGTTTATACTATTTTGATTTTAACTCTGATAGCTCATCAATCCTCCTGTATGCTTATTATACTTTTTTCCTGTCACTGCCAAGGAGTCAAAGTGGCTGTCACACTGCTAGGTTAGTGAGTGATTTTGGAATAGTTCCCTGACCAGCTCTCTTTTCTTCCACTAAATAATAGAACAATACATTCCCTCAGGTATTATGAGAAGGTGAAAAGACAATCTAGTACCAGCATTTAATAAATCATGAAAGGTCAGAGCAAAGGTACTTAAATAATCAATATGTAGGACAATTCCCTAAGAATTTCCATGTGATAAAATTCATTAATTCATTCATTGACTCATTCACTCATGCATTTGTCCATCCATTCATGAACTCACCACACATTTAGCATGCATTATTTCTGTGGAAATCATATTCATGGAGTACTTCCAAAAATGTGTGAGAAGCAGCCACAGTTCTAAAGCATTGAGCATCCTGTATATTGAATTGTCTCTAACTCCAAGCAAGATCCTGAGTAAGACCTCATTAATTTTTATTACTTTTGTTCCCCAGATTTTCTGTTTACTAAGTCATAGTTTGCAAAATTTTCTGGAAATTGTTTCTGCCTTTCTCAATTGGCAGGTCTTATCCAGCTCAATATGGGATTTAAAAAAATAAAGTTTTTAAAGTCATATGTTCTGATTTTGTTAAGTGGCACTTTGTCTCAGCTATAATGTTTGAGGAACAAATGTTTCTGCTAATGTTATAAATTTTGTGAAGAATTGTGAGGCATGTTTGCTGTTGGAATGAACAGAAAGTAGAAGTAGGCATAGAAACTTCCTCAGCTATCACAGTGGGAAGGAGTCCAGGAATTGCCAGAATTACTGCTCAGAGAGGGGACAGGTGAGCCGAGGAGAAATAAGCAGCTCCATTTTTGTAATATGTCTGGAAGTGATCACTGTCCCTCAGAACAGCTTAAACCATCTACTCATTATTTAATCAAAATAGGAACTTGTGTTGAGCAGTAAAATGTAAGTGATTGTTCGAAGATTTTCTAACTGACAGATTAACAGGGCTTTACATTTTTCTTTAATTTTTATTGGTATGGGAGAGATTTCCTTGAAAACAGCATAAAAGCATGCCTGGGTGCTGTCATGGTAAGCTTTGTATGTAAGGGATCACCACAACCACAAAGCACACACAGAAAAATTAATAGGTGGACATTTGAGAATCTATTTCCAGTTCCCAAAAGTAAATGGGTGTACTATATGCACAATATTATGCATAATGCAAACTTTTCAAAATTAACAAATAAAAGACCCAAAATTATATAATGATCAGAGTATGTGAAAACGACACTTGCTTCTGCGAGCCCCTCAAAACAAGCATATGAGTTATAGTCAAACTTACTATTAATTAAAATGTAAATTAAACCAAGATAGCATTTTACATCACCAAATGTATGCAAATCCAAACAGTTGGAGAAACCTAGTGTATGCAGAGTGGAGGGGCAAAAGAGTAAGTGAAAATCTTCATGCATAGATGGAGGTGAGGTAATCCCAGAGAGGGAGGTAAGGTAATCCCAGAGAGTCTGTAGCAGTGTCCTATCTCAGTATGAATAGGAGCACTTGTCAGTCCCACTTTTGAACATGTTCACACAGTTCCATAGGGAAACAATGAAGTTGATCATGACATTTTTAGGCATTTACAATGTTAAAGCAGTGTTGCTCCTACCTATGGTGGTTCCTTAGTAAACACAAAGATGCACACTGTGGGGCCCAATGTGGTGGATAGAAACAGACTAAGCACTGAAATGAGAAGCTCTTCACGAGGATGGTGGCTGAAATGCGGTGCACAGCATACTACCTTCCATTGAAGTTAAAGTGGCACTCAGGTAGCAACACCACATTTTACACACAGAAACAAAAGGACGAGAAGTTAGGACTTTAGAATGTGGAAAAGGGAAGAAAATGGAGATAAAGAGCCAATAAAAATTTTATCAGTTGAGCTCACTTTTAATTAAAATATCAAATTTAAACAAGGCATCACTTTACATGACCAAATTGGCATCATCAAATTAGGATGTCTGATTAGAACAAATGATACTCATGGGCCACAGAAGAGACAAATAACTCAACAATATGCACAACACAACCAGAACTGGAAAATATTTGTGTCCTAAAGGAAGAGACTGACTCGGAGTAACTTGAGCCAGAGGTAACTTCTCAGGAAAAAAATCATAGTAGTGTGTAAATCACAATAGTGTGTAACATTGTATAAAATGCCTCATTTTCTGAGTTCACATTGAAAACATCTGTAACATCAAAGCCCTCTTCTCTTAAGGTTTTAATAATCACTGTATTATAGGCTATAGAGTAGAATAAACTCACCTATTTTACCACCAGGTGGAAGCAGAGATCAAAGTTTCAGAGTTCTCACAATTGACAGTTCTAAATCCTTGGAAGTATCAGCCAGTTTGAAAGTGTGTGTTGGGTTCACAATAGTTCCTTAGTTCTAACAACAATTTAAAATTGCCTGGAAAGCATATTATTGAAATATATTAATAATAATATATGACCAAAGACCAGGAAGATATTTAACCAATTAAATAGAAACCACAAAGATGTGTATTTTTAGAAAACAAAGTTTCATGATACCCTATATTCTGGTTAAATGTGGTCACAGATTTCTATAGGATAATACGATGATTAAGGCAGGCTCAATCGTAATTCCAGTCTAGAAATCATTCAGATGATAAGTTCATGAGAATTATGGCTTCTTGGTCCTCAGGAAAATTTTTCCCACCAGTTTCTCTAGAAAAGAAACTATCTGAAGGAATGAACAAATGTCCTCAGGAAAGACATTTCAGTAAATGTTATGAGGTTCATAGACTTGTCTATTATTTCTGACATAGATGATTTTGTCATCCTAGAGAAATAAAGGTAAAAGTGACCTTACAGAACACCATAGGACCTGGCGCAGAGGTGGAGCTCTCTATGTTCCAGAAAATATAAGGGTCTTATGTCAGCGCTCTCAAAACAAACAGACTCCGAATCTTCCACTGCTTCAGTCACTTTCTTGTTGTTGGAACAAAATCCCTCAACTTTTGGCTTATAGTTTTAATGGGATTATCCTGTGGTTCATGAGCTCCAAAGCAGACATGGCACAGCAGAGGAAAGCTGTGCTCAGCATGGAGTCAGGAAGCAGAGCAGGGAGGGAGGTGGCAATGCACCCTTTGAAATCATGCCTCTGGGGACCACCCCTGCCAACCAGGCACCCACCTCTGCCTGTGAGACTTTTGGGTACATTTTAGGTCTAAAGTATAAGACCTATAGAACTAATTTACTTTTGAGCAACAGAAACTTTCAGATTATGTATTTAACGTCCTCGTATGTTAGACAAAAATATCAAGACAGGTAAGAAGCCCTAATATGGAAATGAGGTATTCTAAACACACACAGTCATACACATGCACACATGTCCATATACACAACCCACACACAGGGGTCTCTGACCTATTATCATTTATTTATTTATTTATTTATTTATTTATTTATTGATACAGGCTCTTGCTACACAGCTTGAGTCACAGTGATTCTCTTTTCTCAGCCCCCTAGTGCTGGGATTGCAGGCATGCACCATCATGCTTAGTTCTGGGGTTGATACTGAACTCCGGACCGTGCACTTGCCAGGCAGGTGCTTATGCCACCGAGCTACCTCCCCAGCCCTGATTCCTTGATGGCTCATTCCAGTGAACCGGTTGCCAGTGATGTGCCTAAGCACCTGAATGGATAGATGGCTTGGCAACGGGGTTTATGTGGTATAAGCCAGAGTGCTAGCCTAGAATCTGTTTTCTACTAAATCTGCAATAAACCAGGCTCCTTCCACCCAGTTATGAGCTGGATGAAGTAAAAGCTACTTTTTCAGTTTCATTAATCAAATATAGAAAGACTTTCAGCTCATTGTGGCCACATGGCTGACCCCTTCAGTGAAGTGCTTCTGAAGGGAGGGTACATAATTGCACATCCCCCATTCTTTCCCCTTCTTGCTGACTGAAAATTCCCCTAGATGAAAGAAGCTCTAACAGCTATCTGCACATAGTCAATGACCTTTGCAGTGAAGATCAACCATTTAAAGACTCAGCAAAACAAAACAAAATCTAAAATTGAAAAGTCCTTTCCAAGAAAAGAGGAAACAGGGAGAACCAAATTCCTGACACCCTGGAAAGGCACAGCAGTCCTGCTTTGCTTGCTTCCATTCTTTTGACAAGAAAGAGAAATATAACAATTTCATCTTTTAGAACATATTGTTTTCTTGAATTTTCTTTCATTTGTAGCCAAAACTTAATCCCAATGAACCCAGAATATAAACTGAATATCAATTTATACGTAGACTACTTTGTTTTATGAAACTGTTGCCTAAACTTACCTGGCAGAGAAGATACCATGACCACAAACATGGTTTTCCCAGGTGCCTCATCCATTGCACTCCAGATGTGCTGACTCCTGCGATTACCCCAAATGCGGGAAACGCGACTGCATAATTTGTGGTAGTGGGCAACTGGGTTGGTGCTTTTCCCTAAAAAAGAAAAAATAAATTTTTGCCTAAATTTTTTAAAGCTAGTCTTACATGGATTACTCATTTTTGGATAAAGCAAAAACAGGTGTTTCACAATTACACCCAAGTTACCTTTAAAATTAATTTTTTTAGGGATCAGGAAAATGGCTCAGTAGAATATGAGCTTCCCTGGCAAGTGCAAGGGTCTGAGTTCAATCCCTGGTTCCACAAGATAAATATATAAATGACAATCATAATTTTTAATCTATATTTTCTAAAGTTGGAAAGAAAAGTGTAATCAAAATTTATACAAAAAGAAACATGTTAGAAATCAGTGTAAAAGTTTTGGAAAATAGCAACGCACAGTAAAATATATTGTAACTCATTTCACTGAGATAAATTGTCTATTTTGAACCTAGGAAACATATAAAACATAAAAGAAAACCACGAAAGGTTTGAAAGTAAGAATAAAAAGCAGAACAAAGTTTTGCCTATATTTTCTGTAACTTTTCCTTTGATGAAATAGTGGGTTCTGTAATTTAGCTGAATACTCAGGGAGAGCCAACAAAACTGTATAGTCTGTGGTCTTCCATTAAAATATACCTATTGAGAATGAAGGGGCCTGGGAAGATAGCTCAGTAGGATAAGTGCTTGCCTGGCAAGCTCAAGGGCCTGAGTTCAATCCCCAGTTCCGCTAAATAAATAAATAAATAAATAAATAAATAAATATTTTTTTTTAAAAAAGAGAGAATAAAAGAATGTGAGGAGAATCTATTGGTAGAGCCAACTCATGTGGCCTTTGTCTTTGGAAATTAGAGCATCATGACAAGATTCTTTGGCTGTATGAATGTGCAGTGGTATGTACAGTTTATAAGTTTAAATACTCCCTGCTATGTTCTGAGCAGCTGTTTCGGTTCTACTGTAGCCAGGACAGGGAGTGAGTGGACTTCATATCTGGGGACCATGTGAGGTTTCTTTCTTGGGAGAGTGCTGCTGCTTAGCTTGGTTGGGCCCAGGGCCAAGAGGGTGCTTTCATATCAAGATTCAGATGGATATGCCATGATGTATCTCAGAAAGGCAGGGAAGAGTGAAGGCAGGCAGGACCATGCAGAATTGCATCTGTACCATGTCTAACACAGGGCTTGGCCAGTCTTAGAGAAGTTCTTTTTATTTTTTTTTATTTTTTTATTATTTATTTATTTATTTATTTATTTTTTGCAGAATTGGGGATTGAACTCAGATCCTTGTGTTTGCTAGTAAAGTGCTTATCCTACTGAGCCATCTCCCCAGCCCTTACAGAGGATTTTACAGTTGCAATGACTCTTCCATGATTTCCTAAAATGAGGGGCTGTGGCGTACATCTTTACTTCTTTATTTTCACATTTGTGTGGGATCTCTCAGGGAATAAGTCTCCCCTTAGGCAAAGGCACTCCTTTCCACAGAAAGAGATTTTTAAAGAGGGCCATATTGGGAGCAGCCAATAATCTCGGGAGCTCAGGAAATGAGAAGATTCGTTCTGAAGAAGGTAGCTAATGGCTGTCTATGGTGTCCAGGAGAGCGAGCATATTCCCATGGGAGTGAACATTTATTTGCTGGACCTTCAATGAATGCAAAAACCTCACACATAGAGTCAATATTGAAAACATAAGTCACAAAGTCAATTATGATTTCATTAAATGTACATGGGAAGCTATAACTAATGGCCTCCTATTGGGCCGTATCAGCAGACATTCTATTATTGGCCAGAGAACTCTTGGACATAGAGTCTTTTAAAACACTCAGCAGAAAAAGTTCATGTCACTATGATGTTTCTTGGGTAGATGGTTGTTCAAAAAGTAGGGTGTGGTGAATGAAAGCAAGAGAGAGGAAAAGGAATATTGTGGGTCTCTCATGCTTCAAGCATGTATATGGTGAGATTTTTGGACTTATGTGTAAACATAAGAAGTATATAATTCTTTATGCCTATTTTTAAAATATATTCCAATTTTTCAATGTTTTTTATTATATTCTGTAGGAACTTAAAGTTCAACATATCAATACTTGATGAAAAATACCTGTTCCATATTATGCCTAAGATGTTTGATAAGCAGACAGATAGTGAGGTTAAGCTTAACAGCCTAAGTTGTATGGTAATAACAATAAGCTTGTCTTCTGGATGGTTAACA